TAAAAAAAAAAATTGTAACAAATGCTTGTCGTGCAGTGACCGCATTTGGGTTTTGAACATCTTCGCTTAGGCGGTACAAATGCATTCAATGGCCGGTCGATAATTCAATGTGACCTTTTCTTTATTCACGTTTTGTTTCCCAACAATGCACGTCAGGGACGAAAAACAACAAATGCAAAAGTTCGTAGCTTCCACTCACGGAATTCTGTCTTTGTTTGTCAGTCAAGGTCAAGTTACGAAGTTGATATTTAAAAAAAAAAAAAAAAAAAATGGCAGCAGTCGAGTGGGAAGTGTTTGACCTTCGCTGGCTATCAATCTGCCCATCTCTCTCCTGCCCCGTCTCATTTGCTCCGCAAGACGTGAAGTGCAGGAGCCCTTTGCAGTCAACTCCCTAATTAGGAAGACCTTGACATGCGGATTTCATCCATTGTTCCTTCTCATTTTGGTGGGAAAATATTTCATTGATTTTTACAGAATCGAAGGCGGGTAGAGCCGAGAGTGGATCTGTGCCGGATTAGACTCTGCGGGGGGTTTTCAGGGATGGGTGGGGCACTCGCCAGTGTGTGTGTGTGTGTGTGTGTGTGTGTGGAATGGGGCCAGTGTCCTTCATGTAACCCCAATTCCTTTTCTACCTTCAGAAACAAAACTGCTTGCGGCGTTGGTGCCACCGCAAGCACTGCAGACGTCTTATTTCATTTCAATCCCGATGTTGCCTTTCTGTAAAGCTTGAAGAATGCTTTTTAAAAAATTATTTTTTTCATTTTTTTTAATGATGATAATTATTTAGGCCCAATTTCCATCCGGCTGCTTTCTCTTGTCACATTTTTTCCTACGACGAGTGCCAATGTCTGAAGAGGTTATTCCTCCCACACAGAAAATTGGTTTTCGATAGCTACGTGTCACAATTAAATCAGACCAACTCCGCTGAGATCTAAAATCTTATTTGAGCCAGCAGAATATCTCTTTATGAGCAAAAGCAGAGACGTTACCGTCAGTTAAGAGAGATATACCACGTGACGTCTTGATTAAGCGGCGCCATGTCCTGAATTCAACGCGGTCCATCAATGAGTTGACTAATGAACGAGGGGAAATGCAAACTCTCAATCAGGGCCGCAGAACGTTATTCAGCAGAGTGAGGGGATAACGCTTCCCCAAAAGGCCAAATGAAGCTTTTAAAGCATAGAAGAAAGTCGTTTGAAGGTCAGGTCCCATTCTGCTGGGCCCCATGTGGGCTGCATGAGTCACAGCGCTCCACTGTGACTGACTTACCTTAGCGCCACCAGTTAGCATATTTCACAAGACTTGCCAAGTGGCAAGTCACCTTGACAGAGGTAGATTCATGGAATACATTTAGAGAGTTCACCATCCTTAAAAATCCGAAGCCCCAAAAAAGGAAACTACCGCGATGTCTAAATGCCTTTATGCCAGGGGGTGTCCAAACTCGGTCCTCAGGGGCCGCTGTCCTGCCCGAAGACAGGCAGCGAAGACCGACTTTGGACATCCCTGCTTATGAAATATGCGATAGAAACAAAGCTGCCTTGCCTTCAAAGCGCTTTTATCAGACCCTGACGTATCTTGAGAGAGAAAAAAAAAAGGACTGATTATTTACTGAAAATGTTTTCACTCCACATGACTTTATCAAGTCGTTAATGGCTGTCATGGCTTCTACTTATAGTTTAGAGCGGGGGGTCGGCAACCCGCGGTTCCAGAGCCGCATCCGGCTCATTAGCGCCGCCCTAGTGGCTCCCCGAAGGGTTTTCAAAAATGTTTGAAAATGGAAAAAGATGGGGGAAGGAAATACATTTTTTGTTTTAATATGGTTTATGTAGGATGACACAAACATTCTTAACGTTTTCGAATGCTGTAAAAATGTGTAGAATTAACATTTAAATTTCAACATGTCTGTCAACTTTGAGCAGATTTTTTTTTTTTTTGTGTGTGGCACAAACCTAGAAATTATATACAAACTTCTGACAGAGTAACTAGAAAACAAAATCCCAATATTAAATATCACTTTTGCCTAAGAGTACAACTCAAATGCAGTTTCCCAAACTACAGCAAACATTGGAGATGGACTTCATGACCGATGTGGCGTTCCAGACAACAACACACGAGCAACAATAAAGACCCAAGAGTCTTTGCTGACGCAGTAAGGATTTGATATCCTGGACGGGTAATGTTCCACAATCCACAGGTAGCACAACGGCTAATCAACAGCCACGGGGACAGGAAAACAGGAAGGACGAAAAGCCAAGGCGGAACTCACAGTCAGCGGCAGAAGGCTGAGGTGATTACCAGGAAACTGACGTGAGAGAAAGGTCAGAGGCAGGCAAAGCCAGCGACGGAGGGTGATCAGTCCGAAGATGAGAGCAAAAGAACAATCTGGCAAAGTGCGGGTGAGTGGGAGAGCTTGGAAAAGTGGCTGATTTGAAACACCTGAGTGCCCAGGTGAGCACGGTGGCTAACGGGGTGGGCGTGGCTGTCGGGCAGAGTGGAGCAGTGGAGAAGTTGAATGGAAAAATCCAGACGGCACACAGATAAAAACAACGAAGCCAAATTGTGACCCTAATGAGGACAAGGAGAAAAAACAACTCCCATTTTTTTTCCCTTTACATAAAAGAATCTAATCTGCAAAAAGCATTTACCACTTTCATTACATTTGATTTGCCCTAACACGCATGGCCCGACACTCACCCCGAATTAAACAATGAGTTGAAGTGTAGTGAAACTTTTTCAGGTTTCGCCTCTGCACTACAAGGAACATTTAACTCTTACTTTTTTTTTCCCCCCTGTGGCTTTAGGTGCACCACGCTCACCCAGCGTCCTTTGTTCAGTATTGCCTTTAAGTTTCCCACTCCCACACTTCTGGCCGCACTACTCAATGCATTGCCGCCCCCCCCCCCCGGACTCACTTGCCTTCTCCGCAGGAGATCCCCCGCTGCGCGCCAATCCCTTTCTCACAGGTGATTGCTCAGGGAATATTGATGAAGGCAAAGATTTGCTGAAGAAAAAGTCACTTTTCAAACTTGCCGGGATGTGGAGGGGAAGGGGGGTAGGAGGGGTGTGCAGACACACACAAGCACACACACACAAACTGACTCTCCCAAGTCTAATTGTTGTGATTAGAGTGACAAACGTGCCTAATTAAGAAGAATGAATAAGGGAAGAATGCGATCGAGAACATTACCACATCAATTGCAAGACATAGGCGTCGTTTTTTTATCTGCAAGTGCCATAAAATCGCTTCAATGAGTTTATGTGCTCTTTACCCTCAGGGGCCATAAGGCACCTTCTGCAAAACACGATTGCTGTCAGGAAAGTTGCAGGACTGGCGTCACAGAAGTAGACTTCAAATGCAAACGAATAACTACTAGTTTTTCCCTTCTCAGTGATCCCTTTGGTGTCTCACGCCCTTTTATGGCTTATCCATTGCTTATCCAAGGACGGTCATTTTTTACAGTTTTTCCACATATAACAGAAAGATGATTTTTGCATCATGGAAATCGTTGAATTCCAATTATCACCACAAAAAAAAATGTGATTTTGTTGCGGAAATATTTCATAAACTTCGGATCGCTTCCGTTTTTAACAAGTTGTGCGTTGATGTGTTATATTTGTTTCTCTTCCCTTGATTTACATGTTCTTTTCTAGTTCTCTATTCCACTTGGTATATAAGTTAGTATCTTCAAAAGAAAATATAAGGTCCCCGCCAATCTGTTTTTCATCATTATGTGTGTGAGAAGGGAGGAAACTCGCACACGGCACTATTGAAGCTAGGATGCCCAATCCTGTTTTTTTTCTTTTTTTTGTAATATTATAATTTGTTTCATAAGATTAAAAATGCCTGCCAAAACCTATAGTTGCAAAGAGCACAATTCGACGTATGATGTATTGCCATTTTTGTGTGTCATTGTAGTCAAGCATTTGTATCATGCCTTGAGTGCAATAAATAATGGGACTTGGCTGAGGTTTTCATCTTTGGATACACTTTCCGTATTGTCGATTTACGATGTAACTGTGAGATCCAGTAAATGTTTTGGATCAAACATTGAAAAAAAAGACACAACGTTGGCTGTTTCCCGCACGGAGTTTTGGCGTCCTCCCTTCTTGGACGCCGGCATCTGCCGGCTACAATATGACGCCAGTCGTAAATCATTTGAAAGTCTATAAACTGTTCGGGTTGAGTAGGAAGAGTTGGGACACATCCTCTCACTATCTTTTGACTCACCTCATCAAGCATGTCATTACTTGGGAACCTACTTTTACGTCTGAAAGATGACGACATCAGAATCACCTCCTGGAAACTCAAGTTTCCAAGACCACACTTTTGGGAATGCAGAATTTATACTAAAAAAGTCATGCAGAAAGGGTTTCAAAAAAAAAATAAAAAATTCGGAGTGATACCAGCTACTTACTCCCTTTAGCAGTAATACGTTATAAAGAACCTCTAAAATAAGTAACACACAAAAAAAATCTAACTTGGAACAGTTATAAAGTAAGTTCCGGTAATACCCTCCCATGTGGGCAAGGAGAGCCAAAGACGTGGATCCACAATCGGTTTAATGAAGCACAAACAGTGAAACTAACAAATCCAAATCGGTAGACAGCACCTATAAAGGCACACAACCAAGACACGAATACTATTAGTAATGTACACTGTGTAAAAACTGTTTGATTTGTTACATTCTCTTTCATTGTTTGAAATAATAATCATAATACTAAAAGACAGTTCCATTTTTTTCTTGACTAATGATACCTGTATCAAAAATGTTACTGAAGTGGCATTTCAGATATTTAAGCGGATAAATGCATCTTGTAAATCAAGGTACCACTGTATGTTAAATATTCTAAAAGCGTATCCCTTTTTTTGTTTTTTAATGATCACAATTCTCTTTTCTTTCCACGTTTGAAATGGCATTTCAGATATTTAAGCGGATGAATGCATCTTGTAAATCAAGGTACTGTATGTTAAATATTCTAAAAGCGTATCCTTTTTTTTAATGATCACAATTCTCTTTTCTTTCCACGTGTTTCTTTATTTCTCAATAGCTCCCTTACTGAACACCACACCCCCTGAACATACGGCATTGTTGTGCATCCGCTTTTGTATTATATTTGACTTTAGAGAGATTAAATCCGCTATTTTCTGCCCGGCCGTTATTGTGAGTGATGGCTCCATTATTATTACTGGTGCAGACTTCAAATGTAAGCCGTCAGTTCTTTGTGAAAGTAAACATTAGACATGCCTGATAAGCCCGCTGTAAAATTACTGGAGAACCTCCCACCTCTATTTTAACGACTAATTCACCTTTTCATATGCTTATATATGAAAAAAAAATAGATGCGTCAGACCATTAGGTGATGGACTTGTTTAGTCAAGGCTTTTATTAGGTGCATTTTAGTACAACAGTATTCCGAAAAGTTACAGCTTACAAACTCTTGGACGTGTACTTTTGTCACAATTTACAAGTGGCAGCTAAACAGAAACGGACCAATAAAGGGAGACGTTCACACGCATACGATGAACCTGTGCCCATAGAAATGTCTGTACATAATAAGGCTCTCACACTCACACACGCATACGCTTTCGTCCTCGCATACACAAATGTACAAATGTCGACATGTTCATCCATCGTGTACCATAGAATGGTGTGAGGTTGTGACTGGTTCCCTGGCGATCGTGGGGTCCTTCTTCCTCGTCGGCTGCCTCGAACGGCCTCTTCGGTGTCCGTGCGCTTGCCCGTGCCTGCGTGTAAAGAGTGTGACAAGCCTTTCTAGCGCCTGAAAGAAAAGATCAAAAGGAGAAAGTTCCATGTTAGGGCATGATTCAGTTTGTACCTCGTCTCCGACTTAGAAATGACAAGCGTGATATCGGCAAGTGAGAGAGAACATTAAAAAAAATAAAATAAAAATAAGCTCTGTTCAGGCGTTTCCCCTTCAGTGGTGTCGTCAATGGGCTCGATATGAGAGAGAGACGCCGACTCAGTCTTTGCTTTTACCACCCCGAGTGTCATTTGCAGTTTGATAGCGACAGAGACAAACAGAGGAAATGGCGAAAACAGAATTACAGTGTTTGCATAATCAGCCTCATCTCATTCACAGGCTCTCGTGTCGACAAAAGCAAACAGATGAGACTGAGCCCAAATGGGGGTGCTAATGCAGTCTAATTGAATCCCACCGCAGGTATTTGTGCCAATCTTAAGCGGCATTTGGAGACTCGCTCATGGAAGAACCTTCACTTTCTAACGCATCGCGGACGACCAACGCAAGCTTTGCAGGATTAGCACGATTTTTTGGGGACTCCCATTGGTTTACAATGACGCACGTCGTGGCTGTCGAATGGAAACCTTGTATGTGTAAATGTGGTTCGGGCCCTTTTTTTTCCACAATTGGATACGATGACACAGCGTCCACATCGTCCGTCTGATTTATTTTTTATTTTTATTTTTTACATGATGAACAAATGTAAAGTGTTGAAAATAACTTGGATATAAATATATTAACTCTCTTGAAAACTGAAATGTCTAAAGTGCGATAAAATTCTCTCAGCACGGGAGCTGCTCAGCATTATGGCACCTCAAGAGTGAAAGGCTGTTGTTTTTTTTTTTTATTTTTAAACAATACAAAATACATTAAAATAATGAGGTACAATTCCAATATTTGAATTTGCTCCAAATAAAACTGATGGGTTTTCAAAAAATATATATCTGGTGAAGAATGAGCAAATAGATAGATTGATTCTCTTTATCCCAGTCGAGGGATAAAATAATCTTTTTTCCCCCCCAATTGTGTTTGGTCTTCTATTAACTTGTTCTTGCCAACTGGAAGAAGCCTTTATCCACTACAGCGCAAACACTCATACAGGTCTGCCATCATTTTGCAAAATTAGATATTTCTTTGGAATGGTTTAACATGTCTATTTAGATCAAGTGGAAGCCCTTCGGTCAAACACGATCCCTTCCAGGACCCTGGTCGACCTCTGATTATGTTTTGATTTGGAAACACATTTTCTTCTCGGACTGTTGCCCTAAAACAATAACGCCATCTCAACGAACATTGAAATCATGTCGTGTTGTAAGTATTCATCAAAAACAAGACAGGGTTCACTCCTGTTATAACATAAAGCCGTTTGAACATTACCATTGTACTGGAGTACGTAAATTCATATCCATACACTATTTTGTTAGATCATTCCAAAACACTGCCAAACCAATTCTGGCAACTTTGATGGGCTTGAGTGTCATGCATGCATGACACTAAAAGCCTTTTTGTGCTCATGCAAATATAAACTCCACTGGTCCGCTGTCAAAATGGCATCGGGCATCTGTTGGCAAACGTCAACCCAGATGCTCACTTCGACTCCGTCGAGATGCAAAACTAACTCACTCTGATTTCTAGCGCGGCGATGCTTTTCAAACTTGCATGATCTGCTCCAGCCGGCGCGGTCATGAGCAATTTATTCGAGTTGTCTTTTTGTGTCTTGATTTATTTATTTTTTTGTGCTGGTCAAAGAAGAGTCGGCTGTTTATTTTAGGTTCAATGCTGTCAAGGTTACTGTGTTATAACGAACGAAAACTAACAAAATAACACAAACAAAAATTTAAAAAATTAGGTATGGGCGTGGACCAGGGTACACTGCGTCCGTTCTGTGAATCATGTGCGTCAGTATGAGAGAAAGGTATAAGTACATCATAAGGTTATGTGTACTAGTAGTATCAGTACTTGATGTCAGTATTGGTGAGTACACAAAAGTGAATACATTCATATTGGTATCGGACCGAAAACAAATTGGGTCTTGGAAACTAATAAAAACTAAAGCAAAGCATTTTTGAAGAAAATACAAACAAACCTACTTTAAAAATGAACTCAAAATAACTGAAAAAAAGCATGATAATGATCGATCCACAACTGTCACAAAACACGATATTTTGTGGGTCCTGACAGATCAGTCCCAAACGTTTTAAAACAGCTGTCAGTCGCGAATGAGTTGAGGAGTGGCGATTGGCTGACACTTACCATGAATGTGGGGCCGGCCGAAACAAGGTGCCGCCTTCCTCCCTCCGTTGCGGATGGGTGCGCCGCTAACAAGCACGAGGAATAAAAACAGAAAACTGTACAAAAAGTAAGTGCTCACCAGCAAGAGACAGCATGTGTACATCCACATTAAACATGATCTCCCATAAAATGCTTTTTTTTTTTTTTTTTTGGAACTCCTACACAGCAATTTTCATGTCTTTCTACAATACCAATACTTCACTTTTTTTTTTTTCTCTTTTTAACATATCCGTCACGCCAAGGTTGAGTCAAGTCCTTTACACCTGTCGCTAGAAGATGTCCAATCCCCAAGTCCGTCCATAAAAAGGGATGCAGGGCATCTCGGGAAGCTACACATTGCATGTGTCCATCCAGTCTTTTTTGCCTAAAATGCAAGCAGAGAGTCTCCTGTACATACACATTCATGAGCATCACCTTCAATATGAAGGTCTATTATGAAAAGATATAATCATATTTAGCAAGAGATAAACATATTTATATTCTCTGACCGCGGGCAAGGCCTCCCACCCACGAATCTACAGGTAGTGTAAAACGCAAGACTGAGTCGTCTCGCTGCGGGGGATCAAAAGACCAAAAAAATAAAAATAAAATTAAAAAATGGAAGCTAAAAGATGACGCGAGCAGTTCAACTGTACATCCCTGTATTCTTCTCCCCCTAATTACTCCCACTGATTACTTTAGTACTCTACATACTGAACTCTGGCCAGGTCAAGGCATCTTCATTGCACACGAGTTAAAAACAAAAACAAAAACCACAGATCACATGTTGTTTCTATAATAGTCCGGATAACAGAGGTACAACAAGTAATCCCGACGACTGGTGAGGAATTCCCCCCATTTGGTCAAAAACCACCACAGTTTTTTCCTTGTGTGTCAAGCGTGGACCCTGAACTGCTCCGTGTGGATTTTTCTAAGCGTGGAAGTGTGATCAAAAGACCAAAAAAATAAAAATAAAATTAAAAAATGGAAGCTAAAAGATGACGCGAGCGGTTCAACTGTACATCCCTGTATTCTTCTCCCCCTAATTACTCCCACTGATTACTTTAGTACTCTACATACTGAACTCTGGCCAGGTCAAGGCATCTTCATTGCACACGAGTTAAAAACAAAAACAAAAACCACAGATCACATGTTGTTTCTATAATAGTCCGGATAACAGAGGTACAACAAGTAATCCCGACGACTGGTGAGGAATTCCCCCCATTTGGTCAAAAACCACCACAGTTTTTTCCTTGTGTGTCAAGCGTGGACCCTGAACTGCTCCGTGTGGATTTTTCTAAGCGTGGAAGTGTAGACCCTGGTCTCCTCGTGTGGATCAGATTAAGACAACGGTCTCGACCCTGCCGCGTTCCGACGGATCGGGAGTCATTCGAGGGCCATTGGTGATATTGTTGGTGGTCCTCTGAATGCTGCCCGCTCCGTGGCACGGCGCCCCCTGTTGTCATGCCATAGCAGTGGGTGACTGGCTCATCTGCACCCTCATGGACTGGATGTTGCTCAGGATCTTCTTTTGGTGTCCGGCTAAGGTCACGCCTATTCGCAGCAAGTCCCTGGTGGTGGCAGAGGGTACAAAAAAAAAAAAAAAAAAAATCTTTTGACTTATTACCTGGTGAATCTTTTTTTTTAAATTAACATATATATTTTTTTAATACCAGAACGGTATGGAAAGCTTGTGGCAACGAAACATTTAATTTGAAATGGTAACTTTTTGGCTGTACAATAACTGAGGAATTTGATGGTGACAGTTTGACTCACTTTACCTTCTATGATGTGTTAGATGGAAATTATTTTGAAATTAGAACCATTTGGAAGTCAACCAGAATCACAGGCCAGATTGTATTCAACGTGGCTTTTCGATATATTCACATCTTGTTGCAACGAAATGACTGCGTTAATGACTTCTATATTTTGGTGCTCTTTTGAATGTCTCATTCTGCACGTTGGCTACCGGGGTGAGAGTTTTGTGCTAAAAATAGGCACACTTGACTTGAGTGAGCCCCTCAAGTGTCATATGGGCTTTGAAGACGCACATGCTCGTCAAACTCACTCTGAGGTCATTTGAGCCACCAGCTGCAGGGACGTGAAGCCCGAGTTGAGGAAGTTGTCTCGGTATTGGCTCATCTTGATGGCACCGAGCCAGTCTTCTACGGAGCTGAAGGTGTTGAAGTCGGGTATGGATCTGTCTAACAGTGGCTGAGAAGGCCTGCAGCACAACAAAACAAAGAATTGATGTCATGCTATTTATGTTCGCGATACAAGGTGGATTTCGATTCCGGGTCGTACCATCCATTCACACTTTTGGGAAACAATTGTTGAGTTCCGATAACAGAAGTGCATCAAAAATGCTGCACTTGCAAGTGCGAGATAATATGTGATTATTTTTTTCAAAGGTCCTTTTCACATGGGCTTCTAAACAATTATTTTTTAAATTTGGGATGGGTGGGGGTAAAGTTCAAGTGTTGCTCCACCATTTGTGTTCAAAAATCACTAAAGCACAAAACACCGGCATATATAGTCGATGCTAATCATGAGCTGATCTATGGTGTTCCCCATTACGTATTAAGCTAGTGGGACTTGAAAGAACGTGTGAATCGCTACCAGAATCGGAATCATCTTTATCGGCCAAGTATGTCGAAACACACAAGGAATTTGTCTCCGGTTGTCCAGGCTACACTAGTATGATCAATAACAAGCAACTATGATAAACAGGGACATGACAAATAAGTATGTTTTATGAATAATGTATATGGTTACCGGCAAAGCGAACACAATTCAACTGGGAGTGGATTTAAACTAGGAGGGTGGGAAACCAAATCCAAAATAAACAGAGAGAATGTGAAATATGTGCGATGCATCATGGGTGACTTACAAGCTGAGCACTACGATCGGGGGAAGGGTCAGGTGTGATGCAACCGACAGCAACCGCTAGCAACGGCTTCGTTTGGACGACGCGGCGCATAAATGCAAACAACCAACAAGGCATGACGTCAATAACTGGATTCGTCTTCTCTACTCACACCGCGGGGATGTTGGCGACCGCTTTGAGGCTGGCGGGGTTACGGATCATCTTGTCCAGAGTGCTGACGATGTCTGTGAAGCGAGGCCGGACGTTGCGGTCCTTCTGCCAACAGTCCAGCATGAGCTGGTGCAGCGCGCTGGGGCAGTCCATAGGCGGCGGCAGACGATAGTCCTGCTCGATGGCATTAATCACCTGCGGGGCACGCCAGGGAGGTGGAGGTTTTATCTGCGCTCATATTGAGGGAATTTCTAATTGCTTGCACCCCCCCGTGTTTCGAACTAATTGCACATCCGCCCGTCTGATCCCAACATGGCAACTGTTCTGTTCTGATACATCTACTCCCTCAGAATGAAGTATCCCTTTCATCTCGCAACATACTGCAGCCGAGACAAAATATCGCTAAATATGATACTATTGACACATATTTCGTATTTATTACATATGCAGGCATTGACACCGCTTTCATTCCTTTGCGGCTTTGCATAAGTGCACGGTGGATTCATTTATTTGTTTTAATTCACTCCAGTGCAATATATTTGTTACGTCCAGTTTGGTTGTCATTGACTTTTAAGTGCAGTACATTCATTTTTTAAAATTTTTTTATTTTTTATTTTAATCCGGTGCAGTACATTTATTAAGTACAGTTCAATTGTATTCAGCTTTTCGTATAATATTTTGTCTTTTATAATTGTTTGTTTTCAAATATTTCTTTAGGTGCATTTTGATGTAACTTTTATTTATGATACATTTTCGGCGACACATTATTTAAATACGACTTTTTTCATTTTCCCGTAAGTGAGCTCAGAGGTCACATTTGAAGTGAATCATTATTTAAATGCAGTTTTTATTCATTTTCCCGCAATTGCGCCGTTTGGTCACGTTCAAGTCATGTCTACATTTTATAGTGTCTGACAATAATGTCAAATTCCAAAAAATGTCTTTTTGGGAATAAAATCTCTGCTTTGTTTTTGATGAATATTACTTATGACGTGACTGCATTTTCACATCGGTCATCTTGGTAGCGCGTGACGATGCCGACATCATTGACAGATCTTCACATCTTTATGTTTTAGTCCGTGTTTTACTTTTCTGTACATTTTCTGTCTGCGGATTTAATTTTCCATTAAAATGCATCACTGTGAGATAAGAACCGGGTGTGAAATTGAGTATTAAAGATACTATCATGAAAAAAAAAAAAACCCAAATAAAATTAGACACTGCTCTGTACTCCGCCGCACAGTTGAAGCGCAACTCAGCAGAATCTTGATAAATGATCCATCGTGAAGTTTGGTGTTTGTGTGTGTTTTTAAATCATGTTTGTGTGTGTGTGTGTGTGTGTGTGTGTGTGTGTAGAGAGAGAAAGGACAGCCGGGCATGCTGAGTGATGCCAGTTACCGCCACTACATTGGCCTCGGCAGGTTGCCGTTTGCTGCTGGCCCACTGAGGCGGCATCTGTTGCATTGGATGGTCCTTGTGGAGCAGCATCCACTGAGGCCTGATGGTCGCTTTGGTAGCTTACAGAGAGAAATCGCAGAGTTTGGGAAGAGTTCCAAAGTTTGCTTGTGTTTTTACGCGTGCAGGATCCAATCCAAAACGGACGCAGTAAACAAAGCCGCCCGTAGTAGACTGCGCTCAAAAATCTCTCCGGGAGGTAAAAAAAGGGGGGGGGGGGGGGAGGGAGATTTGGCCTGGAAGACGTCCTCGCTCAAGGACATCGTCAAAGATAACGTAAGATGGAGGATGATAAAACTTGTGATTTATGACCACTTAACTATTTCATGCGCTGAAATCCTTGATAGTGTGTGAAGTACACGGGGGATGAATTGACCATTTTTGATTAGAAGTTGTTGAATTAGCATCATCTATTATCCCTTAAAAGGGGCACTCAAAGCAACACTTGGAAATTCTAAATAGTAATGAGATGTCTTTCTTTTTTTTTTTCCATCAATATTTATGTTCCACGTGATTATACTCATGATACATTTATTTGGAATTTCTGACAGGGTTCACATTGTTCTATTGCCTTTTATATATATATATATATATATATATATATATATATATATATATATTCCTTTGCTTTGCTTTTAAATGTCTTTCACTGTTTTGTTTGTGACTGCTTTTAAACGGTTGACTTTTAATGATGTGAAGAAGCACATTGAGTTATCTACCTACCTTAAACAAAGCTGCTTTTATTTCGCATTGCCCTTTTTTATATATCTTTTTAAATGTATAAGACGAGAGAGTATGAGATCTGTTATTAAGATGGTGTAAGATGTATTTCCATTAGCTTCATTTTATTTTTCTCGGAAGAACCGTTATTGTTCGATAACATGACGGACATACTGAACATTTCATGGAAACTGGGAAAATTAAAAAGGACGAAACGGCCATCGAATGTCCATTTTGAAACCATGGCCCGAGTCCTTGAATTTGTTCCGAATTTGTTATTATTATTATTATGATGATCACTTACATCCTGATTGGACATGTCCCAGTAGGGCCTCTCTCCAAATGACATCACTTCCCACATGACAATGCCATAACTCCACACGTCGCTGGCGGACGTGAACTTCCTGTATGCGATGGCCTCCGGCGCAGTCCACCTCACAGGGATTTTTCCACCCTGAAGAGAAAAATAAAAAAAAAAAAAAAAAAAAAAAAAAGAGAAACACAACAGCAAACCCTTGTCATTTGCAATCATTTTTGAGATGAGTTTTATCTCAGTGTCTCAAGTTTAAGTTTCAGGACCCAAGCAAGTCCAAGTCATTTTTTTCCCCTCACATGCAGTATCTGGTTTTCATTAAGATGGAAAAGACAAAGAAGGTCAAACAATGAGATGAGCGGCCGATTTCTATTCCTTCCGTCGAAACTCGATGTGTGTGTTTGAACACGTCTCAAGTGGCGTCTCAAGTTGAGTCTCGCCTTCTTTACTTTTTGTCAAGTCACAGGTCATCAAAACAGTGACTTAATTGGAGTCCCTCGGACTTTCCTCCTTCACCCTCTACCGCTTCCGCCCTTGCATCAATTGGGACATTTACAGAAGATTCGGCAATCGTCTCGGGAAAAGGCTCCCGACAGCGTTTGCCCTTCACATATCGACCGATGACGTCTTCCCGCCCGCGCTTTAAATGAAAGGAGATAGGCGTGGGCTCCTGCTTAATACATCGACTGCGTCTGCTTGTAATTGGACTACCTGAGCCTCCGGCGAAGCCATGCGATCTCTTTTTATTGAAACTGACAGCTGCTTGTCCAATTTCCCAAATAGGCACGCAGAGGCATTGATAGTTTTTGTGTAAACAGGCAGACTGTCAAGCTGCGTATCTTGAGCCCACCACTGGTTTAATAATGCCAATTAGCCCAACCTGAGAATTCACAGATAAGCCACAGTTGGATACAGACACCGAGGAAAAACAAACCAGCCCGAGCGAGGAGGGTGGGAGGGGGTGGAGGGGGGCAGAGATGGGGATGAATGCACACAATGAATAGTAATCCAGCCACAGTTTGTCATACCGGTGAGAAGTAATCTTAAAATGTGTGATCGCGCTGCTAGCTTGAATGTACGCTCTCGTCAAAGTGCAAAGAGGCATTTGCTCAGGACGTCGATTTCTTCAGGGTTCCACTTTTAAAGGGGTGTTGGCCCGCAGACAGATTTCACATTTGACCCGGAATGTGCGCTGTTGTCGGTGCAACGCGTACGCACGTAGACACACATCCACTCGTACACACTTTTGCCAAGTTAACCAGTTTGGAAACACAGAAGCAGTCCACGTGTCCGCTCTCTACTTTTCAACGGGGAGAAATCAATTACTGGAGGAGTCTAGCTCAAGTGACTTCAATGCTTTCGCCATAAAGGTCTCAATGTCACTTCATGTCACGACGCACGGCAGCGTTGTGTGTGCAAGTCGAGAGAAGGGAAGAAAAAAATCACATGAGATTCGGATTGAAATTTCAACGCTTGCCGTGCAATCGACTGCAAAGGTTCCACCGTAAACAGAGGGTCACTTGGGGGGAAAACATTTCATTTTCATACATATTCCAACTTACTTAATGTCACTGACTTGCTCCTGTTTTTGCTCCATATTAATATCAGATTTCACACTGCGGCACCCCGCTTACAAGCTGGAATGGCCCGGGCAAAGACACCGGCTTTCACAAAGAGACCGACAAGTAATAACATTTCCAGGGCAGCCGAGTCGGGAGGCAGCAATGCAAACCCTTCGGTAATTACGGCTGTGGGCCAGTGATAGCGCTGCCAAAAATCCTGCTTTCATAAGTCCTGAACGGCTCCCGCTCTGAAGAAAAAAAAAAAAAGCAAATGATAATAGAAAGGAAAAAGTGTGTTTGACACTTTCCCGAATAGAGAGAGAACCATGTTAATACCACGGTGAGTTGGGTGGACGGAAAGTGATGACGGGAATTAAGACGGACCTTGTGTCAACAGAAAAACATCAAGTGGTGTGTGAGCCCCCCCGCGAGGAAGCAGGGAGAAAACTATTTGGATGGGTTAGAGACGAACAACCATCCGCGCTCACACTCACACCTAGGTTCAATTTAGAGTGTTCAATCAGCATGCCATGCATGTTTTTTGGAATATGGGAGGAAACCGGAGTACCCGGAGAAAACCCACGCACGCCCGGGGAGAACATGCGAACTCCACACGGGAAGGTCGGAGCTGCGATTGAACCCATGACCTCTGCACTGTGAGGTCAACGCGCTCACCACTGGATCACTGGGCCGCTGACATCAATACAGTAAAGTACAATTAAAAGTTGTGCATCAACACCAACACAATGACAGAAAATACCTACAGCAGTGACAACGACAGGGATGTATTTTCTATCAACGCTATTTGCAGGTTGATTGTTGCTGCAAAATCAAAAAAAAAAAAAAAAAGTATTTTTTTTTTTATCCTTGAGTGCACATGAATGTCGACATAAAGCACCAAAAGACACTTTGCTGCTTAAAAGAGCGACAGTAACATTTGTAGGTCCCTTCTCCAAGTAATCAATGTTACGACACATTTACTGCATCAATAAAAGCGAGACGAATTACGCTGAGACGAGTAACAAAAAAAAAAATGTAAGGCATTACATCTTGAGTCAGCATGCTTCGACATCAAATGAATATGAAAAATATGAGTAAATACACCACTTGACGTACAGTCATCCCTATTAGGCAGCAAATACCGCAAACTAAAAAAAAAAAAAAGACAAACTCGGAATCCGGCAATTTTTTTTTTTTCAATTTGCAATTCCCGTCTCCTATTTCCTCCACTCCTGCAATTCAGTAATCCATTTCCCAACAATGAACCTTCAAATGGACTTGAGCACATTTATTTTGCCCATGGAGAGAACTCCATCAACATCTTTTTAATGAAATCCTGAGAGCAACCGATCGCTTCTGGATGTTTGGCCCAAAGTGAGCGGGATGGAGAGACGCTTTTGCGGAGGGGAAGAGTGACAGCAAGATGAAGAACGGGAAAAAAAAAAAGGTGGGGGTGTGTGTGTGTGTGTGGGGGGGGGGGGGGGGACTCATGGGGAGATGCTGGCTTTCTAAGCCACCCGCGGGAATTTCTGGCAAAGAGGATGGGCGCGGGTTTTTTAACACTTCTATGGTCGAGTCATGCACAGTTGCAATCGAAAAGCTTTTTGTGTTGTCGACGTATACATGCTTGACGGCATGGTGCTATATCGGCTCTATTCACCGAAGAATTCTTCAAATATCCTCATGCTGCCTGAGCAAGGAGTGTAATATCACACAAAATGGCCATCTATGAAGAAAAAAAAAAAAACCTAGATAAATAATGTGCACTTCACACCGCGCCTCCCAAGGTTAATCTCGGCGAAAATGATTGACAGCCCAATAAACTCCATTATTATACTTGAGAAAATGTCTTCCAGATGACCGCTATGCGGTCACACAGTAGAAATATCTATTTGCTTTCATTTCTCAGCAGACGAAACCCGATTCCCGATGATGAAAAGTACACGTTTTTACATTGATTCTTTTTTTTTTTTTTTTCCCTGCAGCCTTCACAGCTCATTAGGAGGAGGCAAACTTTGCCAGGATTAACATTTGTCGTACAAAATCAGATGGGAACTTGGCCTTCCATCCCCTCGTTGGTTATTCCGTGTTGTTCGAACCACATGAATCGTATACGCAATACATGCGCACGGATGAATGAACATAAGCTTGAACATACGGGACGTAGGATCTCGTCATATCTTCTCAGATGATTTTAACCGCTCTCCAAATTGCGCAACTTGAGAAGCACGCGTTTCCTCAAGCTATCCGTATCAACTGCATGTCCTGATGCGCTTGAATTAGATCATATTTGGCGGCTGCGTTGAATACAAGGTGACCAGTCTAATTTGAGCGATTGCGTGCTCATCTCAGACCGACCTTGGCCTGATAATTCATTTACAGCACGTTGAGAATAGGCGGCGACGCTCTTGTAAATGAGTCTTACCAAACTGGAGCACAGTATTAATGGACTTGATTTCCCCCCCCCCCCCCCCTTGAAGGATTTAATGGAACAAAAAAACTTTCAATTGCTTCACAAATGCACCGCAACAACCGACACAGATGGTGAATCAAGGTCTGCTCTATCCTGACTCTGGCAGCACGGCGGGGGGTGGGTGGGGGCTTGGTTGGAAATCAAGGTGGAACGTTTGGAAGTTTCTCCCAACTGGTAGCTACAGTATCATCATTTTGATTTTCCCCATATTGTCTATTATGTGTGATTTGGTACGATACTGTGGTTCACGGCAGGTATAAATTCGATGTATTTCAGAAATCCAGTTCCCAGAAAAGCGGTACTCCTCTCCTCTGCCCAGGTGGGGAAGCCAGATACAGGTCGTGTTTGGTCACTGCACCGGTGACTCACGCTTATCGCGGGGGCGCGGAGGGATTGGGAAGAGAGAGGAGGACCGTCGCGCCACATGCGTACTTTGCATTCGTTTACACCGCTGGATGAAAATAAGCATCTGTGCCCGTCACCGATGTGGTAGTTTGGAGTCAGCCCATGCTAAGAGCCGACGAGAATGACAGCAAAGCCATTTCATTTGATTACATGACTCTTCCCAAGCAGCATGATGCCTGCCCCAGACACTGAATGTTGCATTTATGTTGCACGAGAAGGAAGCATATTTTTAACCTCGCCTGCGCATGTGTAAACAAAGGTTCTTTATTTCAAGATGAAACATAGCCTGAAGTGTCAGGCCTTGTAGAACGACTGACAAGAATGGCAACAAAATATATATATTTTTTCTCTTTACCTTCACGTACCATCAAAGGCTAGAAGAAAAAAAAAAAAACAATGTTAGCTTTCTTAGCAGCACTTAAAAATATCTATCGGGAGTAGTGCAAAACTAAATACTGTATTTATTTGAATAAAATTTTCCGATCCGCTTTCTCCTCACAAGGGTCGCTGGGGGTGGAGCCTATCCCAGCCGTCTTCGGGCAGTAGGCGGGGGACACCCTGAACCGGTTGCCAGCCAATTGCAGGGCAACACGTATTTAACGGTTTAATTCAGATTTCAATAGTTTATGAGGACAGTCTTCTTTTTTTGTTTTGTTTTGACACCGAGACCCTCAAAATAACTCATCTTTACACCAGTTAATTGAAAAGCTGACCCTGAAACTTGCATTCCATAAACAATATGCAATGGAAAATGCAGCCCGGGGGGCAGGAGACAGGGTGAAATGATGCAAAATAGCAAGCAGCCAAGTGACAGAAAACAGCAACACATTTCACAACACAGCGCGCGCAGTGGAGCGGAGCGCAGAGAATGTCAATCGGGTCGCGGGGATTTGACGGACGAGCTTTGTTTGCGAGCTATGTGTGACCTCGCCTTTCAACCTCTCTCAGCCTCAATGACACAAACAAACACGGCCGCAGGAAAAGGCACCTGGGGAAGCCGGGGGGGTCATACAGCACAGTACTCAAAAACATACGGAAGTATGCATTCTCTGCGCAACAGAATGTGAAAGGCGGGTGGGCGTGTTTTCCACATCATCAGCTGAGTCAGTGGAAAGAAAACAGCAAGCAATCAAAAGATTATGAGTACTTGTATACAACGTCACGACATCCAATACAAAGACTGTGTCGAAAAGTGTGTCATTCCAAGAGTAGGAGTTTTTTGCAGAGGGGCTTGGAACAGATTAATGGCATTTCCATTCATCGCAGTGGGCAACAAGGATTTGAGATACAAGGTTTTGAAGTTACCGGCGTGGTCACGCAACAAATTAAACTCTCTGAAGGCACCAGTGTATCGTGGTGACAATTCGACTCCAAAAGGAATTTATGAGTTATGTGTTTTAGCGACGATCAGTCTCGTCGACGGTTTTACGAGCCAAATGCCTCCTGATTTTAGCGAGAGTGCTACAGAGCGCTAAGTGCAACCCCCTTGGATGTGAAAACCCCGCAGCATTGCCTCGGCGTGAAACCATGTGCCACATTAAACACGATGACCAGCGGGGTCCTCCTCACCGTACATCGCTGCGCAGCGCGCGCACTGTAATTGCTCTGCCGACAACCGCAAAGAAGAATCAGAACAGCAGTGTTGGAAAAGTGGTGATTAATTTGTCGGGGGAGGAGGTCGACGGCAATGTAAATCGCGGCATGTTAGCGCAATTTAATTTTCTCCCGATTCCCTCGGCCTCGTCTGCGGCGGCAGCCTCGCTCGCTGATTGGTTTGCGACAGGTCATAGCTGAGCAGGTCACGGAGGGAAGAGGAGCGTGGATCGTTTAATTATGCTGTCGAGCCACGTGGATGAGGAGAAAACCCCCAACATCCCCTGAAGCATGTTTGCACGTTCACCTTAAACACGTTAGTGGAAGGATCAGCATGACAAGGCGGTCCTATGTGCACAATGTACAGTCCCGTGCAAAAGCATGGGTGCCACCTCAAAGGTTCGTTGAGAATTCAGCACAATGAGAACGAGGAAAGGAATTGTGCACGAGAGCGGGTTTCTACCCGAACATGAACTAGGAGACTTATGAACATATTTTTGATTCATTTTTCGGTTTTCACTGCGAGAAAAAAAAATATAGAAACATATTTTAAGAAATCTTTTGAACCTGCAGGCACTGACTCACCAGGCTATTACCTGCATGCTTTTGATCTCCGCTTTTTGCATGTGTCAAAATACATCACAAGGTAGTCCTGAAATAGCCCCCCCTTTATAGCACAAGGTATTAATATTCATATTCGTCCATAATATATACAGAATTACCACCAAAGTACCAATATGCTGTATAATCAGGAGTGGAAAGAATACATCATTTGCATTAACTGTCCCTGAGGCAAATTGAGGAAAAGGTACAACTTCAGAAAAGCATTCTGAGAAACTGGTAATCGAAAACAAATGGCTTGTCAGAAAAGAATCAACGAACCGCAAAGTATGTTATATGAAGTGTGTCAGTATTGTTATCACAAAAATGTCTTTCAAATCCAAACGACAACAACATTTTTCCCTTCAAAGTAATCCCCCATGAGTCTAACAAATTTCCCCAGCCTTTTCTGCCGTTCCTTAATGAACAGCCGAAATGATTCTTTTGAGTTCCTGCAGCACCATTGTCGCGGCCATCTTGATGCCATCCGCATTTTCAAAATTGGTTCCCTTGATTATCCCCTTGAGCTTGGGAAAGAGGAAAAAAAAAAAAAAAGACCCTGAGCCAGGTCAGATGAGTCCCGAGGTTGCTCCAGGAGGCAATTTTCTTCTTGGTCAGGAACTGTCAGATGCTCAGGGCACAGTGAGCAGGCGTGTTGTCATGGTGAAGCAGCCATGGATTGTCCTTTGCCTTTGGATATGCAATCATCTGGCCCACATTGAAGAGCAAAACTTGATTTGATTTGGGGTTTGAACTGAAACCAGTCCTGGAGCTTTTCTGACGCACGTTGTACGCCCATTGCGCTTCAACGCCGCAAACCGCAAGGGACGATTCGACCTTGTTTTCCGATACCTCTGGTATTAGGATCTCATTAGACTCTGAAGGTATATCCAATGATGTGGTCAGTGAGTTTACAAGGGTCCTCCAAACAGTGTCGTCACCTCTGATTAAATATCAGTCAAGCAAGCTTGTTCGCACTTCAATCTCAAAGCATCGTAAATGAGGTCAAACTTGATGAACCAAACACCTGGGACACCCTTGCTTACTGCGTATCGCCACACACACACTTTTGCCGCACGCGCAGAGAATGCGTGCGACGTGTATCCGAATGCGTTTTGATTGAGGTAAAGGAGAGGCAGTCGATGACTGCTAATAATTACAGATCTGTGGTGTGGAGGAGTTAATGAGGAGCCAAAGCCTCCCATGATGCCCCCCGTAATAATGAACGATGAGTGAAAGAGAAGGCGGGAGGAAGGCGGGCAGGCGGAAGAGATGGGAGCTGTCAGTTGGAGAGGGCGCCATGCCCTTTGGTTTCCCCGCACTCTGGGCATGTCAACGAGAGAGGAGCCTTCCCAGAGGAGACTTGTCTCCACACTAATGAAGATGTGACAGAAACAGAACCACGGCACCGTGACTATAGAACATCGGAAAGAGGACCGGGGATGATGATGATGATGATGAGGAGGAGGAGGATGAAGAGAGGATGGTGAGTTGTGGGAAAGATTGTTTGCTTCTTCAAATAGAAAGCTGTCACAGAGACTCGTAACGGATTTGACTGACGCGATGTTCACGGAGGACAATTAAAGGGACGGCGGTACCCACCAAAGAGCTGGTGTAGCTGGGATCAGAGGTGTCCTCCTGCAGGTAGCGCGACAGGCCGAAATCGGACACTTTGCACACCAGGTTGCTGTTGACCAGAATGTTGCGTGCGGCCAAGTCCCGGTGCACGTAGTTCATCTCGGAGAGATATTTCATGCCGGCCGAGATCCCGCGCATCATTCCCACCAACTGGATCACTGTGAACTGACCGTCGTTTTGCTGCAAAACAAAGAGAAGGGGAGATTCAACGGCAAGGTTTGCAGGGAGCCTCGTTTGTGAAATGCTCATTCGTCAAGGGAAGAATTGAATCGATCATGTCACATGGTCACGGGGTTGGGGTTGCGCCGGAGAAAATCTCCATCGGGAAATTCTTTTCCTTTATGAAGCAAATGCAACTCGTGTTCATTCAAAAGTCTGGTTAAGTTCTCTTTTTAGCATGTGGTGCCGAGCAGCCGTGCCCCTGTGTGAATGCTTCCGAGGTGCTTTGAACATGGCAACAAATACCAAGGGTGAAACAGATCGATGGAAACAAGTCGGAAGTGGAGGTTAGCAAAGCCGGCTTCAAAGAGCCCCTTAAAGCCCCACCTGAGATCAAAGCAGCGCGGCGCAGTCACCCGTGAGATTGAAGGAGGGGAAAAAAAAAGGTGAATTGAATTTTGATTAACTTTCTTATTATAAAACAAAGCGCCGGAAGTCCAATCATATTTTCGGGGATTAACGATAGTGTTTGAAAATGACGAACGTACGTTGGAACCTTTCTCTTTGAAACGTCTCGAAGCGCGTGAACACGTAAGACAGGCCAACTGTCGAGTTTGACAGTCTGCCCAGACCTTTTCTGGGGGGATCCCGACGCATTACTAAGCGTGTTCTGGGGTCTCCTCCCAATGGAACATGGCTGGAACACGTCACCAGGGAAGCCTTCCGTGGGGGCATCTTATCCAGATGCCCAAACCACCTCATTTGGCTCCTCTCAAAATGGATGCTGCAGTAAATAGATTTTTCATGCCACCGAGTAACGATTGACCAGTATTCTGCAAGACGACTGCGATGTCGATGGTCCAATGAAGGCTGCATGTAACGACTGACACGTAGACCAACGGTGGGACAAAGTCTCCGCAGTCAGAGACTGGACAAGAAACTCATGCAAGAATACACGCTAATTGGGCCTTTGAGGCACCGGTTGGAACAGATGGAGCGGTGCGGAAAAGAGTGGAAAAGTGGGGGCATTACTGCCGATGTTGTCAGCCAAATTTGCCAATTTGTTTTCATAGACAGGGTGTAGAAGAAATCTCTTTTATGGGAGTCATTCTTTTTTTTTTCTTCTCCCATCGCAACTAATGCCTCACTTGCATTTGGTCTGACTGCTACAGTTCATGAATGATGAGAATCAAATCATGACTAACATTTGACAGCTTGCCATTAGACAGTCGCTCACCCTGAGGAAAGAGTCGAGGGCTCCGTTCTCCATAAACTCCGTGACGATCATGACCGGTCGGCTCTTCGTGACGACCCCCTCCAGGCGGATGATGTTGGGGTGGTCAAACTGACCCATGATGGACGCCTCGGATAAGAAGTCACGCCTCTGCTTCTCAACGTAGCCCGCCTTCAGGGTCTTGATGGCGACAAAGATCTCCCGCTTACTGGGCAGCTTCAGACGGCCCTTGTATACTTCCCCAAATTCACCTAGAAGAATAAGCCGATGTCATCACGAAGCAGTCCTTGAGATTAAATTTTCTCTGGTTTCTTTCGTTACTTTGGATTTTGTGGCCCCTGGGCTCTAAGTCCTCAGTCATCTACAGATTCCCCACGCAGGACAGTCAATACAAATGACATTCTCGGCACTGATAGGCCACGGTAATCGTCCCACAATTCAAGTTGCGTCGGTCCCTCTCAAATCGCATGCTGAGAAGGCCAATTTCAAAGGAGCTATTTCAGTCTCAAACGCAGTAGCAGTCCTATTTTTACCTCGATAAAAGCAATTCCGTGGCATTAGAAGGCTATACAGACGATGCAGATAGAAGAAACACCTCGTATCAAAGCAAACGGAAACTGCTTACCCGAGAAAACAAAGACATCAAACGTAATTACATCCCCCTCATGAATCGGGGGTGGAACGGTAGAACATATTTGAAATTAAGTATAATCAGAAAAGCAGAGGACATGCGGGACAAGACTAATTTCTAATGCAATTATGGTATATCCCATAGTAGCTGGCCTATATTCAGGTCATGTCCACGAGACCCCCCCCGATTGGCTGACTTTGCAACCCTGACTAAATGGTGTGTGACGACCGAGATGTAAACGTCACAGCACAATGCGACAAAGCCAAAAGAGGCGGAGCGACGTTACCTGCGCCAATGACCTCCTCGATTTTAACAGTCGAGACATCAATCTCCTTGGCAAACTCGTGGACGGCTTCGTTGGGGTCTTCGTACGTGAAGGGGTCGATGTAGATCTTCATCCCTGGGGAGCCTGAGAAGTGGGTCGGGCAGCCCAGTGGTGAGGGGCAGTTAGACATGTCGGCTCGCAAAGAGAGTTCTAGAACAACCAAAGGTGCCCAGTGAGAAGAAACCCCATCCGTTTTTGTTTTTTTTTCTCATTTGGCTGATGTGTTGTGCTAATGGCTGACGAATGCGATTGACCCGAAGGTCGTAACTTCAATCACATGGTGACACAGCAGTGCTTCCCGTCACTGCAAGCTTTTAACACTATTAATGAGGACAACTAAACTTGACATATGATTCTCCTTAAAATAAAAGAAAGGCTACTGCTGGATCGAAACCGTTCTCATCGCACACATTCAAGGGTATGGGTGGAAGGTCAAACAGGCAGTTTAAGTTCCATGTAAAGATAAAAAATGAAATGTCGATGAGTGAAGTCTGAGCTTGCAAAAGGGGAGGCAGTCTGTCATAGAGTGGAACCACAAACGTCCAACACAATTAACACCGGGATGGTGGTCAACCTCGAATCAGTTCCATGTAAAGATAAAAAAAAACGAAATGGCGATGAGTGAAGTCTGAGCTTGCAAAAGGGGAGGCAGTCTGTCATAGAGTGGAACCACAAACGTCCAACACAATTAACACCGGGATGGTGGTCAACCTCGAATTGGTTGGATTTTTCCTTCTGAATACAACCGAAATAGATATAACGCATTGCTGGCTCACCCTGTCATAAACATTGATAAAACTGTACAGTGGTACTTTGAGATGCGAGTTCAATTTGTTCTGTGGCCATGCCTGTAACTAAAAACACGAGCATCTCAAATCATTGTTGCCCACTGAAATGAATGGAAATCCCATTAATCCGAACCAGCCTCCCAACCCCGCCCCTAAAAATCATTGTATTGTTTTTAACCAAAAATAAATAAATAACACAATCTAATATATTTTATAAAAACGGTAATGAAACAATTGACAACAATTCTACATTTTTGTGAAATGTTTCCCACTGAAATGAATGGAAATGCCATTAATCCGAACTAGCCGCCCAAACCCCCCCTAAAAGTCATTGTATTGTTTTTCACCAAAAATAAATAAATAACACAATCTAATAGATTTTATAAAAACGGTAATGAGACAATTGACAACAATTCTACATTTTTGTGAAATGTTTTGCTTCAGTTCGATACACTTGTAGCCACACATGGAGCTGAACAAAACTCCCCCGTAGGATGCGGCAATGTTGGTTCTCCGTTCTTCATCGAAGATCAAGAATATATGCCTGCCCGTACCATTATATGTTGCTCCACTGCTTGTGTTCAAATATCCATTGCTTGAAGGATTATAAATCAGCGACGGTGCTGTTTGTTCGCCCATCTGTCGAGTTTTGCAATGTTTGTTAGCATTATGCTAAACGGACTTATCAAAAGCAAAGCTATGCGGCTGTTGACAGAAAACTTCAACTGGTAGTGACAACTAATAGCTTGAAGCCTCTATTTTGAATAATTGTTGATTATCCGTCAAAGGTGTTTGAGCCGGCTTACTGAACATAACTTGCGACGTACAATGGATTCCTTCGTACAATATATTCCTTTTCTCCTTTTGTGCAATTAGCATCTTAGCATTCTATGAGACTAGTGCTCCTCTTTTGGGAGTGTCCCTAAAAGCAAAAATCTATTTTGAATAATTTTTGATTATCCGTCAAAGGCGTTTGAGCCAGCTTACTGAACATAACTTGCGACGTACAATACATTCCTTTTCTCTTTTTGTGCAATTAGCATCTTAGCATTCTATGAGACCAGTGCTCCTCTTTTGGGAGTGTCCCTAAAAGCAAAAGGTTAATAACTCTAATACTGCCTTTTTGTTTTTTGCAACACCCAATGGCACAGTTTGGTGGATGTTTTCTACTTTTATGACCTCAGGGGACTTTGACTTCAGAGGTTCGCTTCTCTGAGTAAAATGAGATAGCGAGAAAGGTGAATACATTGATGAGTGAGAACCCCCCTCGCTTTTCAGTCTCTCAACTCTTTAAGTGCGAGAACCAATTTTGCCCACAGCTCTGCACAAGCTCATAAAGAGATAAAAACCGCTGCACCATCAACTTGCGCTTCATGCCACTGGGCGATAGGTAAGCGCAGTTCCCGGGACCCACAAGCGAACTGCTAGATTCTCTGTGCTGACAGAGCGGGCGGGCCTTGCTGCTGAAAAGGACTTGTAAACACATTCGATATATTCAATACACTCCGCTCCAAGATGGACATAACCGTAAATAAGTCAAAACATCATTTCTGCAGTGGCGCTTGAAGGCAGAACCTCTTTGGCGGAGTAGGAAAAACCTTGGCGGGCATGATTGGAATAAACCCATCTCCATCAAGTCAATTTGTGCCCTTTTTCATTTGCATAACACACGCGGCGATGGAAGGGTCCCAAGCGATAGCGAGAGGATAAGGTCTGCTCTTGGAAGGATCAAGGCAGCTCACCTCCATCTTCACTTAAAGCTGATTCTGGTTACGGCTCTAATTGCCTTGAACCCTGTCTGCGTGAACCTAATTGCTCATTAGAGATTCCATTCAGATTAGATTCAAGGTAATCCATTAGAGGGTTTATAGCTCGGCATTCCATAAAAAAAGGTCTCGTTTATTGGTGTTGCCAAGCTGCTGCAACACCGCTGGTAAGGACTCGATATATCAACCTGGATGATGGTTATACTTCAAGGAACATATGGGGCCACAATCAAATAAGCAGTCGACCACAAATGCATGCATGTCCTTGTGCACATACATAACAGCAGCCCATTATTTTCCAGTCCCCATTTCTAACACCACTTTCATCAATTATTTAAAACCCAACAGTATGTAACTCCCCGCACGGTGTTATCCGGACTCATCTTTTTATGGCCATTTCAGAGAAGAAACAGCTTTTTGCTTAAATATTTCACAAGACCCTCATCTGGGTGTGTGAAGCAAATGTATCCAAACCGCCATCCTATTTTTACCCAGCCTTGAAAGCAACAGATCTTTCCAGCGGGAGGTTAATGGCGGCTCCGGCAAACAAAAAGGACTTAACTCATGACTTAAATGGATAGCTCGTCCCAATTAGATGGCTGAATAAAGTGGCAAAATGGCAAAAATTAGACCAGCTCATGATTTATTGACTTCACTTTTTAATAATGCATTCAGTAATGCACACAGGGCTGTGAATTACAGTTAACTGCACTGCACTCAACCATTCTACTTTCACCAGTGTCCGGCATTCACCCCACAATTGGTTTGCCCTGCTCATTTAGCAAATGGCCCAAATGTACCTACAAATCAACAGTCAAGCTTAATTACTGTGAACTTTGTACATAAATCCATCATACGATTAATGGCCAAAACATTCCTCACACTTGTACTAATTAATGAGATCCTCACACTCAGAATTCATGCTACTTATCTACATTATCTAGTGACCTGACGGGAACAAAATACTTGAAGCAGTGCCCTGTTTGATTTTTAGTGCAGTCCTACAGACGGCAGTGTAAACTACAACCGTGAAAATATTTGAATAGTATCACAAGTACGGTTCGGAATGGATTCAGTTTTTGTGAATTCCATCATCAATTCTGTTAGATGACTTCATTCTCTTATCGATAATTATAAATAGAATTACAGATAGACAGAGAACTGGCTAGCTAGCTCTAGCTAGCTAGCTAGATAGATAGCTAGATAGACAGATAGCTCGATAGCTAGATAGCTAGATAGATAGATCCAAGTAGTGATGTCTTGTTTAGCTATTTCATGACACATTTTGTCACCACATTTTGGTAATTAGCTGACAGGAAGTGGACATGTGGAGAAACACGATCTAAAATATTCAGACACAGTGTGTAGGCTTACTTAAGACACTGCGGGCGTTTGAGGCCCATCAAGCAAATCAGCGGTTGCTTTCCTCGGCCTCACAAACACACCCGACTAATCTGAATGATTTGTTATCTTTTTTTTTCTTTTTTTTTTTCCAGCCGCATTGCTAAATTTTCAGTCCAGGCAGCATTGTTTTTTTTTTGACACGTTAACGAGGCTGAAATTGAGGACACATCACCTGACGTGTGTGGCAACGGCTGGAAAAGAAGGTGTCTCAATGCGAAGCTGGCACATTTTCCGAAATTTCACCCTAAACAATTGCTTTAGCGGCTCGTTTTTATTGTTGCACTGAATACTGTAATTACAAAACTGTCAGTCCCATCTTAGGGGAGAGTGAAAGACAACAATGCACTCTGGGATGGGTGGGGTGCAGGGGAAGGGAGGTCTGCATTGTTCAAAAAAAAAAAAAAAAAAAGAATAGGATCTCTTATCAGCAAATTGACGTATTTGATGATTGATGACTTTGATTCATCGACTGCCTTCATGGCATTTCGGTTTCGGCTCTTCTGGCCCGTGGCATCTATAATGAGTCCTGCCTTGCTGGGGCAGTGAGACAAAGTATGAGTTGGAAACACTGCTGCGTCAGGCTCGACAAAGCTCTATCCCCTCGAGTGAGCCCTCGTACTGACAGCGAGGTCGACAGCACAGACTATTTATTGGAGCCACAATACTGTTTGGTGTTTTTTTTTTTTTTTGAGTGCGTTTGAAGCTCTGTGTATCCTCCAGGCTCCATCCCAGTCAGTGTCAGGGGAGCGCTTACGACACAACGTACTCACAGCCATAGTAAAGCCTTGAGAGATGTCTGTCAGCATCATTGCCGCAAAGAAAGGAGAATGAATTTTAGAACAGTCGGCTGCTTCCTCACAATATCTACCTCATATTTTTTTTTCTGTACAAGATCGACCTGTACGTTGAATTGACCACAACTGAGTCGCACCTATCAAAGCAATGCAAGACAATGTAGATGAACTCCAAAATGCCTTTGCTGGAGAAACTGTGTGTGAATGCCAGGATGTTGAAAAATGAAAAAAATTATGCAATCATGTGAAAATGTGCAATATGTTGGTGAAAAATGTGGAATGGTTTTGAAAGATGTGAAATGACATTGGTGAAAAATGTACATTTTCGAACAGTCGGCTGCTGAAGTGAAGTGAAGGAGCTGAACATTTGGAATTCTAAATGGGAATGGGAATCTGTTTTGTTGAAGGTGTCACCGGGAATCAATTGGCAAATGTTGGGGTAAAAAAATAAATAACTAAATAAATTGGATAGAGGAAAATAGAAGCCCAGAAGGTGTGAACTCGGCGTTCATACAGTATAATAAGAACAATTGGATAGGTACTATGTGGAGTGGGACCCTTGGAGTGAATCAGTCACATTTATCACAATCAAGTCCCATTTATCACAATCAAGTCATCGCGATTGTATTAGATTTGGTCAAGGGTTAGATGGTGGACTCACCTCGTCCTGTACTGTAATGTTGCAGCTTGTCACTGTAGACTGCCTCCTTGGTGTAGGCCCTTTTCCTAACACATTAATGAGGAACAGATGAATGATGAGCAACATGACAAAACGCTGTACACAAGGGTGCCGCGAATACCGCACAATAAAACGCGGCTGCAACGGAATATTTTGCACAGCGGTGGATGGGAATGTCCGCCATGGTAAATGAAGTTTTGAGTTTTAATTAGATCTCGATAGGATCACTTTGCTTTTCATGCGCCATCAAAAGAGCCCCGGCCTCTTTTGTGAAGGCTCAAAGTTGCGCGCGGCTCAGCAGAAAATGTGACCTTCAAATATCTAAAGCAAGGGCGCCTGAGCGATGTGGCAGAGTGACCGGCTAATGCCAAATTAAATCAGCTCGACTTCACTAACAAGGCAGAAGTTGCAACGGTTTAACTTCTCTGTGAAACGATGCTGGACGGTGGAATATGCTTGCTTGCATTTATGCAATATAACAAGCTCATTTGGGTGTGTTTATGTACCGCGTACTTTCCAGGGATATGATGATCAATGTGACTGCAGGCAAATATGGATTATATTGCGAAACGAAAACCTAAACTTGACATTATTGACACCTTACCGCAAAGCAAAGCCTCATTGTATAGTCACATGGTTGGCGGCGTTACCATTAGGTTGACATTATTTGCGATACATTTATGTTGACACGAGCGTACCCCTGCATTTGGTTCAATGCCCCAGGGAACACAATGGTGGAGGAAAAACAGCATAAACAAAAGAGGACATGTTGGCTAGGATGTCATTACGAAGAGGGAAAATTAAAAAAAAAATGTTTCTGCACTGCGGGCGCTTAAGGGAAATTGCGGTTACCTGCTACACACGATCGAGATGGCAACCAACGAAACAATGAAGACCACTCCTGCAGCCGCTGACCCCGCAATTAGAGGAAGTTGCTCCCTCAGCTCTGATTTGAAGTCTTCTAAAATGAAAAAGAAAAAAAAAAAAAACCTTATTAACCACATTTCATTACAGAACACTCCAAAAGGACCGAAGAATTTCCAAATTATTATTATATATGTTTTTGTGACATGAATGCTGTTGATGTAACCCTTTCAGCCATTGATATTTGAACACAAATGGTAGGGCAACACATGTAGACAGACATAATGCTCACAGGGTCTTCTTGCTACTTTTCTTCCTTCTGATTCAGACCAGTCAAGAATTGTTGATTTTTAACGGGAAATTAGTCAGCTAAGAATTACATTAAAGTTTGTACGATTGTACTTCTGGCTACAAAAAGATGCAACATTGCATCGTCGTCGTCCGCTGCTAGGGTGCAGAGCAGCTCGCTATTTATTCTTCATTTTGTATTTTAAAACATAAGTGTAACAAGTGTTGAGAAGAATGGAAACCATAGAAAACCTTAATCGAGGCTTATGCCTCTACCCCACACAAAATTAAACAAAAACAAAAAAAGAGATTTAAAAATGGAACTTGGCTCGGAACGTATCACCCGCAAAAGGTTAAGAGAAAATCGTAATGATATTTCAGTTCATTTCAAAGACGATTTGAGATACAAGTGTTTTCAGATGCGAGCCTGGTCACGGAATTAATTAAACTTGTAAGTCAAGGCACCGCTGTATGTGTCATATTTGCGGTTTATAAACCAGTTTCTGAGTACTTTTTATTCATTTATTTATTTTTAGTGGCTGCAGTTTATATACCCATGTGCTCAGCAGACTGAATTTTATATGTTAAGGTCAGTACTGCATTGCTGACATAAAAAAATCAAATGATAGCCTAAGACTGGCACACTACTATTTGACCCCCCCCAAAAAATAGGGGGGGGAACCCCCCAACTTTAAATGGTATGCGTTCAGCTATTCGCATGAGAGCGCATCTTTTGTGCGTGCGGAACGGCTCGCCTGGATGTCTGACGGATAAAGAAAACATACAGATGTCTCAGCTGAGAGGCGCCGACCGAAATCCGTCGAGCTTTGGCAGGGATGAGTGACAAGTTGTGTTTGATAAACTGAGACCGAGTGACACAGAAAGAGAGGCGGTGTGCTATTGATGCGAGAAAAAAAAAAAGAAAAAAAAAAAGAATGACAAGGAGGCCTTCATCTTTCAATATCGGCGTACCTGAAAAAGAAGCCGCACTTTGGAATGCTGTTTCACGAGGTTTGCACCAAAAGACGTTGCACAGAAAACCTCAAAACCGTAGACCCTTAAACATTCAGGCAAGAACTGGTTATCTCCCTCGATATGTTTGCTTGAAATTAGGCAAGTCAGATTTATTGATATCGCACATTTCATACACAAGGCAACTCAAAGTCTTCCCCCGTTCCTCATAAAAAAATAGAAAACCAACAAAGAGAATTGCGCAGCAATCTTTGAAGACAATGTGACGTCCCACTTGATGAATATTTTGGGGACAAAAGACGACAGTTTTCCCCGGATTGCCCATAACAACCAATGAATTAGAAAAGAAACAGAAAAACAAACAAACAAAAAAAACACTTCAATCAGAATTTCCTCATGTCATTATGGAAAAGAACATTTTAAATGAAGGGGCTGTAGTTGCCCCTCTCATCCTCCTCCTTATTTAAACATAATGAACAATATATATTTTTTTAAAGTGTGTATTTGTTCACAATCGTGTGTTTTCACTTATTCATATCTTACAGATATTAGATTTACTTTCAACCACGCACTGGTGAAGGGGATAAAAAAAAAAGTGCGTTGAGGAGATGGAGGCAAACCAGCGTAAATGGCAGCAGGTGGAGCCGACGGGCGCGAGCGTCGGCAGCTCGCTGGCGCCCGCTGCTAAGTGCTCTGACAAATATCGCGTGGTGGCGGCGCGCCAATAAATGAAAAACAGCGAGCGTGAAGTGTGTGCCGTTGCTTTTTTCGAGAACATTTGTAAACACTGAGAGGGGTGGGGGGGGGGCACGAATGTGCCACAGCATCTACTTTAGCCACTACGCTTAAGCCTAACGCTGGAATGAGTTTGAAACGCCCAGACGGGTTGCGTTTTGCGCCACCGCATAAAGGGCATTATCGATAACATCCACAAAAAGAAAACCACAGATGATTGGATTTTCAAGTTATCACGAGAACACCAGCAGGAGCCTTCCGTATGCTATTTCTCACACTGGCCTCCTTTTGTAATAAATGACAACACACACAAACCTGATAGACAGAACACGACAGACAAAGAAACGGGGCTTTGATCAGCGTGAGGCGAAAAATACGAAGCTGCTCGGTGACTTCAGAGTCCGTTGTGCTTGTTTGAAGTGACTTGTGCACAAATGTTGTCCAACTCATCGAAGGAACCGTTGTGATCAACCCTGCGCTCAAAACCCCCGTTCCACCTCCTGTTACTGACTGTTTGTCGAATGCTTCAAAAATACAGCTTGATGTTAGCGGAGATTCTTTCGTCGACATTGTAGTCATCATTTTTGCACCAACGGAACAACCTGTTAGGTCGGGGTTGGCGCGTTCAAACCTTCATTAAAAACAAATGTTTAGCATGTTCAAAGCTACACATTGGCTATAACAATTCTTATAATTTTGTTTTGTATCCGTATGAAAGGCCAAATTAACGGCAGAAGACAGAAAAGAGGACGCAATTGTGTCATGGCAAAGCCAGAAGATCAACGCAGCATTTTAGGGATGGTCGGATTTTGCATTGTTTTGTGGCTTAGCTACGCTACGCTGTTAACCTGCTTTTAGAATTTTTCATTTGGTGACGGATGCTAACTTTCTACTTGACAATGGCACTTTCATTTCTCATTTCACAACTTGTGCCACGGCGGGTTCCTGTGGATCTTTGGAACCCTCCCTCCCTCCCTCCTTTTCTGTTAAACCCC